ACACACAGACAACCTCTCGTCAATATGCGTTTTTCGCATTACACTGCTGCAAAAAACGCATAAAAACTGAAATGCTGACAATATTTTGCACAATGTTACTTATACGTAGGCATGCAGTGGCGATTCAAAAAGTTCATGAGAAAGCAGGGCAAATGAATTTGAAAATATGCTCCAGTCTTTTTTTTTTTTGAATAAACATTGTTTTATGGAACTAGGAATGAATTTGGTCTAAATCCGACGTCCGTAGCGATAAGTACAAGCACGGTAGCAGAAGTTTTATTGGAATTTTTTGCCTCCTCAGTAACTCGCCACGTAAGCTCGTTCCTCATCCTGCGTAAACTTTGAAAATATTTCGCACTTTCCGTTAGCATTCTGCTGTAAGACCGAATTTGGTTAAGCTTTAGCATAGTTGTGCAGTAATTAACCTCCAAAATACCAGACTTCTAAACTCAATCATTTCCAGCTGTAAATTATTTTGATTTGAGGGAACAATGAAAATGGGACGAAAGTGACTAAAACAAGAGCATATGCGTAGTGCTTATGAGAATATTAAGGATGATGTGGATTCTGTTTTCGAAATCTTTATAAAAATCAAATTAATATTAATGCTCTTCTAAGAATATCCGTTTTGCTGGAGGCAAATCCATCCGAGCAAATCTCGAAATTGCTTGATTTTAATGGAGACCGGAAAAAGTTTTTTTTAAGGATTGGTTTTGCAGACTTCCAGACATTGTAGATAAGAGAACAGCGTCTATTGGTACAGCACATTTATGGGCTTTTCACAGAATGAGGACAAAAGCATAAATTTTCCATATATTGCGGGAATTTATATTTCAATTAATCTGTTGGTGACGTAGTCAGGATTTTTTTGAAGGGCGAAGTAATCCTGAAAAACTCGATTCACAAAGCATATTTGGCAGTCTTCTCAAAGGGCGCTCCTACTTCAGTTCCGATGTGGCAGGCTTTTTGGTAGCCAAACTTTAATTCCCTACAAATCTTAACCGTACCATTAACACAGATATGCTGCATTTTTAGCCTCGTGGCGGAGACAAAAAATGGACTTCACTTCAACTGACCGTGGTCATTTGTTTTATCAGCAAAACGAAAAAGTCTGTCAACTATTTTGTGCTGGCTGTTAACGAGCTCCGTTGTCGGCTTTTGCTAGCTTTGATTTCATTCTGCTTGTCCAAACCTTAAATGCAGTAGTGCGTAATAGCTATTTCACAACTCTGTCCCGTTTCCTCACGCGTATGCATCTGCGCTCATTTCCATCCAAATGTAAAGTGCCTGTCAACAAATTTCATGCTTAATGTCGCGAAAGTCTATTAAAAATCACTGCTTCTTTCTTGCTCATAATTTGTCGCGCAGTGTTGTTTGTCATGTGTAGTGTCTTCTCCTGAGAAGTGTGTCTAGTGTCCTCAAAAATTTTTTAATGTTACTCTTGCTGCCTTTTTTTGCCTTCCTCAAAAAAATTCTTAACCGTTCAGGTCTCATTTTCCCGCTCTCCTTCTCTCCTCTCCTTATCATTCGCCAAAAATTTGGTGCGCAAACAATTTTGCAAACACTTTTTATGCGTCAAAATGTTTTTTCTTATTTTTTGAAAAAATATTTCGTGAATTCTTTTGTAAACTGTTTGTGCGCAAACGAGGCGTGAAAATTATCACGGATTTGTCCTTAGAATATCAGCTAGCCCAGTATAATTTTTTAATGGATTTTCTGACCCCACAAATTGCTTGATGGATTGAACCTTCAAAATTTTCAGTTTGTACAATTTTTTTTTTGTTTTATTGCAGTTTATTTTTATAATTGGAGGGCCGAGAAAACATGGTGTGCAAACTAAAATTTAAGAAGTAAATTAACCCGTTAGTCCTTGGATAAATGACCTGAAATTCGCCTTTACTTTTTGCCATATTCTGCCTATGTACCTCACACACGGATTTACGCAATTTCGTAATTTCAAAACGAAGCAAGCTAAAGTTTCGAAATCTTCAAACTTTACTGTTTTGAACAGGATGTGTGGCCGGAAGTTGGATTTCAGACCATAGGCTTCCATACCATCCAAATGCAGTTGATTGCCCTTCTGGATCTTTCAGCACTTTTCAGATGCAGTATGTAATGTTAAGCCATGGTACTCCGACAGATGGCCAACTTTCAAGATGTTAATTTGAAGAGGGTCGTTTCGCTGCGCATCCATTTACTGCAGTCTTGCTTACCGCCCCTCTTACCCTCCTCCTCACTGCATTTGTTTTAGCGATGTTTGACAAAAAGCATTGGAGAGTGTCTCGGTACTGCATATGTTCTTTACTGGCATTGGAAATGCGAGAAACAAACCCCATAGTATTTAAGTCTATAAAGCACAATTAGTTGTAAGCGTGGCGAAAAAGGTCACATTTGAAAAGGAACGGCTAGTTCCAGTGCATTACGGATTTGGACATACGTGCAGAAATTATGACAGCTCATTTCAGGATCGGTTACGTCCAGGTCGGATGTTATTAGTGGACACTGTGGAGAAGAAAATCGAAGAGGACAATGATCTCAAGTTACGCATTGCGCTTTCACGGCCACACAAGAAACTTAGCTCGGCCCGGATATATTTGGATCAGTTTCGTAAAAATGATGTGGTTGGTTTAGAAGCAATTTTTTTTCACTGATGATTTTTTGGAAGGAAATTTTGTTCCGGGGGCAAAATTATGCATTTCTTGGTAAGTCCGTGAACTGTATGAAAGTGTGTTTTTTTTTGTCACGTATCTTTTTTCATTTTCTTGTAGAATTACATTATTGTTTTGCATTTTGTTGGCGAAAATTGCCTGCTTCAGTTATCTCATGGAGCTATAACGAGTGAATACTTGATAAAGCGTGAACTGGACATACAGTGGAGTGAGAACAGCGGCACGAGTGAAACTGGGCGCCGGTTACCGAAAAAGCGACACAAGGACTTGCATCTAGATGAGGATCGACGTCTGATGGCATTTTCTTACACTCCTGACACATTTGCTATGCTTATTGCACCAATGATCAAGGAAAGGTATGTACTCCTCATGAGCTCTATAGCTGTACTGAAAAATGGGACCGGAAATGGAGGGCTGGAGAAACTGGAAGCTGCGCAAGTGATCAGAAATGTAAATGATGCATTGGAGAGAACCATTTATACTTTCGACCACTTGCGCCATTTCCAAATCAGCCAATTTCCGTTTTTCCAATTATGCAAATACACTTTATTAAAGTTTCGTCAGTAAGCTAATTTTTCCAATCCATAATATTCTGGGTACAACGAGGACTTTTGTCATTTTACAAGTATCTTCCGGGAGTTTTAAATAACATAAAACACCGAAATCTTGCACCCAGAGGCTGGAAAAAAAACCTACTACAGTAGGAAATGTATTTGCTGTGTAACTAAAATATTTTAATTAGATCCGAAATAACAAATAAAGTGGTCAGATAACGGAGAACACAAAATAGAGGTGGAAGTCTTCGAGACAAGGTTTTTCAGTTCTTGACTTTTTTATGATGACTTTTTCGCGAGTTTATCTGTTTCTACACTTTTGATAGCATTTTTTAAAAATCAACCGAATTTGACCACTTCTCATCATTCTTTATTAATACCTAAAGAAATCGATATTACTCAAGATATAGTGCAGAGCAATCGAAGCAGGGGCCTTTGACAAAGCACTGGCTCTTTTCCCTTTAAGCAGTTATTTCCTTCTTGACTCATTTCAGCATTTTCCAATTGGACTTTCGTTCAGGTACACGAATTCAACACTGTGAATCCGTGAGATCCTCATCCAAACGATTTTTGCACAGTCATTTTGCATAAAATGCATGAGGAAGCATGCCTCATGCTCCTAGACAGTCTTGTTCCTTTGGGTCAGTTAATCTCTGGCTGTAGTAGTTACGTTCCAGAAAAGAAGCACTTGGTTCGATGGGAAACGATGCTGCATTGGCATGCCTTTCCGACTACAGTCCACAAATTTTCTCATACTTTCAACAGCTTTTTGCACAGGTATTCTGATATTTTGACCGGTCGAATCCTTAGGCTTTAATTCACTGAATTAATTTCCTGAAAAGTTTTAAATAAATTTTTAGCATGCTGCAGTACTTTGGGTTTTTATTCGCTAGACCTCGCTCTTATGCAGTATGTTGTTCAATAGGTTATCACACTGGAGTGATAATGTATTGGTCAATTTTATGTTGCAACTGTTCACTGCACTGAAGACGAGTCCGAACCTCCTTGGACTCGTCTTCAATGCAGTGAAATTATTCTTTTGACGATAATGCTGGTTTTTTTTTAAAGCGCTAGTCCTTACAGTAGGCCTAGGATTAATGTAACTCAAGTTACATTTGGGTTTTCTAGAGCAATGCTAAGGTGCATGGTGTTTGGCATTTGTTAACGGTAAATGAGCTATCACTCAAGCCGGTGGAATACTCTTTAGGTTTTTTCAGACAGATATTATCACTGCTAGCTTTTATCAATAAACATTGTGTATCCGAGAACAGAAGCTGTAAAATTATGACTGGGCATTTCCAGGTGACAAATCCACCAATAGATCCATTTCGTGAGCAGATTGTTATGTCACTGCGTTGTCCCATTGGTCCCGAATCGAATTTGCTGGAACCATCGGAAGAGTTAGAAGCCAGATTGATCTTGGAGCAACCAGTTTTATCGCTTATTGATTTGGAAGTAAGCTCATCAAATTTTTTTGCTAAACTATCCAAATAGTGCCTTGCTACTGAAGTCGATACGGTTATACTTTCTGCGGTAAATTCTTCTGGGCATGCAGGGGCTGGAATTGCCCACGTACGTGGAGAACACGAAGGTGCACTTCTTCGTCAGGACGATTTTTAAAGTAAACCAAAAACAGCTTGGTAGTGTGCTCCATTCTGACGCTTGTGAGGATAAAGCCGAACCAGAAAACGTTTTAGAACTATATATATCAAGACACACGTTTTTCATGCAGATTTGTCGATTTCCTTATAAATTCATCTTATAACTGATTCATGAAAAACTGCATCGCCGCTAAAAAACGTATCCAGGAGATAAGGATAATACACTTCTCTATAAATTTTAAAACCAATCTGTAACACACTAGGTTAGCTGGTGCGAACATTCGTTTTTGCTCAGCTTTTTACGCAGATTTCATTCAAAAGCGAGCGCATTTTGCTGCGAACGACCGCCTTATTTCCTAACATCCAGTCCCAGTTCTTCTCTAAAAAATGGAAATGTTGCTAGAGCGGTAGTTCAAGAAATCCAAATGTGTAAATGAACTGGATGTTGGAAGAGAATGAGTGCGGTCGTTCACTGCAAAATGCAGTCGTTCCTGAGTTTATGATAAAGTTGAGTATTTCTCGTAACCACCTGCAGGGAATTTCACTTCCAATCAGAATTAAAGCCGCGCTTCAGTCTCGCACATTATCCGGTAGGCGAAATAGCCTTCGCTAAAAATGTCTTTGAAGTGCCTTAAGTCATGGTGCAAGTGCATTTAAGTATGCGATTTTCTACATGGGCAACAAACATGCTGACAGAATTTCAGCCACTGTTTTCCGGCAAGTTTTTGAGTCAGCACAGTACCAAGTTGCAGACTTTGACGTGATCGTACGCGTTGCACTATTGTGCGCAGTGGCTGAGTTTGAAATCTTTAGCTCACACAAGTACGTAGGATATTCTTGCAAAGTTCCAGCTTTCTATCTTGCCTAGTTCCCAAAATCGTTTTTTGCCAAAAAAATTTGCATATTTTTTCGGGGTCCGTACGCTGGATCACGTCGCATATGGGGGAAGATCTTAAAAACGGAGGGTTAACACGCGAGGCAGAAATATGTCCGTAAAATTTTAGCCTCCCAGCTTTCCTGGTTGTTGAGTTGAGAGTGGGAGACAAAGTTCTCTCGCTTCCGATACTGGCTGGTCTTAGGGTGAAGGGGAGGGGGGGGGGGGGGAACGAGGG